GGGACCGGAGCCCAGGAGCTCGGCTGTGCATAGTGACTTTATCTATAGACTGTGTGCCTGGAGGCCTCTTGGAATTGCAGTCCTGGTACAGGTAGAGGCAGTGACCAGCCAGTTGGTGGGCCTTGTCTCTCTGCTCAGTTTTAGTTTTTTTCCAGACCTGACCAGAGGGCCAAAGGCCAGGAGGCAGTTGCCCTCAAGGAGAAAATATTCCCAACCACCAACCTACCACTGTTCATTGGTAAATAGAAACAGTTCCTGGGGAGGAGAAAAAAGAGATCTAAGAGAACTCAGAGCGCATGAGTTCTAAGTTAGAGGGTATAGCCCTTACCCAGTGAGAGCAGGTCTGCCTCCTCCTCTAGCATCTCCTTGCAGAAATTCCACTTAGTGCTGATCTGGTGCCCAGCAACGTTTTGTGATTTATTCACAGCCACATCCTGCAGCATCTTGAATTCCTGAAATAGAAATTCCTGCTCAATAACTGTCCAATACAGAGCCAGGCTCTGCAGGCCCTCTCTTCTCTTTTTAAATCGGTACTACTCTCTGCATTACTTTTGGTCTCAGTAGATAATTTTGTCTCTCCCTTTAAAAATGCGTGAAACTGAGATCCAAGGTAATAAAGGCCATAAAAGACAAACCAATAGTCAACATCATACTCAATGGGCAAAAAACTATAAGTGTTTCCCTTAATATCAGAAACAAGGCAGGAATGTCCACTTTCCCCACTCTTATTCAACATAGTGTGGGGAGTCCTAGCCACAGCAATCAGACGAGAAGAAAAAATAAAAGGCATCCAAATTGGAAAAGAAGAGTAAAACTGTCACTATTTGCAGATGATGTGACACTGTATATAGAGAACCCTAAAGATTCAATCAAAAAAACTATTAGAGCTGATAAATGAAAGTTTAGTAAAGTGGTGGATACAAAATAAATATCCAGAAATTGGTTATATTTTTATACACCAATAATGAGCTATCAGAAAGCGAACTAAGAAAACAAACCCCATTTCCAATTGCATAAAAATAAAAACAAATAATCTAGGAATAAATTTAACCAAGGATGTAAAAGACATGTACTCGGAAAATTATAAGACACTGAAGAAAGAAATCGAAGCAGCTACAAATAAGTGGAAGCATATACTGTGTTTCTGGATAGTAAGAATTAACACTATTTAAATGTCCACACTACCCAAAGCAATCTATAGATTAAATACAATTCCTATCAAGATACCAATGGCATATTTCACAGAGCTAGAAAAAATATTCCAAAAATTTATGTGGAACAAGAAAAGACCCCAAATAGCCATCGCAATCTTGAGAAAGAACAAAAAAGTTGGAGGAGTCACGCTACCTGATATCAAACTATACTGTCGGGCCATAGTAATCAAAACAGGTTGGTACTGATATAAAAACAGACATATAGATCAATGGAACAGAATAGAGAGCCCAAAAGCCCACATCTATGTGGCCAATTAATATTTGACAAAGGAGGCAAGAACATATAGTGGGGTAAAGAGTCTATTTAAAAATTGAACAGATACATGAAAACAAATTAAATTAGACCACTTTTTTTACCCTTATATAAGAATAAACTCAAAGTGGATTATAAAGACTTAAATTTAAGACTAGAAATCATAAAACTCCTAGAAGAAAACATAAGCAGTATAAACTTGGGCACTTCTTGTAGCAATATTTTTTTCTGATATGTAAGGAAAACAAAAGAAAAACAAATGGAACTACATCAAATGAAAACATTTTTGGCAAAGGAAACCATCAACAAAATGAAAATACAACCAACTGGATGGAAGAACATGTTTGCCAATGATACATCTGATGAGGGGTTAATTTCCAAAATTTATGAAGAATTTATAAAAGTCAACACTAAACAAACAAACAATCCAATAAAAAATGGGCAAAGGACCTGAATAAACTTATCTCCAAAGAGGACATACAGATGGCCAATAGACATATGAAAGGATGTTCAACATCAGTAATTATCAGAGAAATGCAAATTAAAATCACAATGAGATATCACCTCATTGTGCTGGTAAGGATGTAGAGAAAAGGAAACCCTTGGGTACTGTTGGTGGGATTGCAGTCTGGTGCAGACACTGTGGAAAATATGGATTTTCCTCAAAAAAGTATGGAATTTCCTCAAAAAAATAAGGAACTTCCTTATGACCCAGTGATTTCATTTCTGGGGATATATCCAACACTAATCCAACACTGAAACACTAATTCAAAAGAATATATGCATCCCTATGTTCATTACAGCATTATTTATAGCTAGAGACCCAGTGCACTAAATTCATGCATGAGTAGGGTCCTGAGCAGCTGTTGGCTGCTGTCCGGGGCCTCCCTTTCCCAGCTGCTGGCTGTTGGCCGGGGCCTTTATTCATTCTGCGCCGTCCCCTGGTGGTCAGTGCATGTCATGGCAAGCAATCGAACTCCTGGTTGGTTGAACTCCTGAGGGGACACTTTGCATATTAGGCTTATATATATCTTTAAAATAAAAAGACTGTAAAATTAGGTGCAGAGAAATGAGTGTTTATTTAGAAGGAGAAAAGACCGTGGGAAGAAGGGGCTTGTATAGATATAGATAGCCAAGATTTGGAAGCAGACTCATAGATATGGAAGACAGGCTGATAGCTGTCAGAGGGGATTGGGATTAGGGAGCTGGACAATAAAGGTGAAGGGATTAAATCTTCCCCCCCACAAAAAAAACCTCATAGACACAACAGTACAGTGATTGTCAGGGGGAAAGGAGGTGGGGCAGGTGGCAGTGGTAGAAAAGGGTAAAGGTGGATTTATGGTGACGGGAGGAGACTTGACTTTGGATGGGGAACACAATACAATATACCGATGATGTATTATAGAATTATACACCTGAAACCTATATACTTTTATTAACCAATGTCACCCCAATAAATTCAATAAAAATTAATTAATTTAAAAAAGAAGTGTCATTGGACCAAATCCACTAGTCAAACTTACCAAAATCTGTGGAGAAATGGGTCAGTCGGCCAGAGGACCCTAATGCCTTCAAGTGCTACCAGGTGAGAGCAGGAGGGGCAGGCTGCTGCCTCCTAGAGCCACTCAGCATCTTCAGGGCTTCCCACTGCTTCAGGGTCTTTAGGATAAACACCATGACTCAGATGCCAAACCTGGAGCACAGCCTTCTGAGGGCATGTTGAAGGTGGCAAATCAAGTAAGGGGTATGCATCTTGGTCCTCATGGTCAGACTTTGGGGTAAGTGCCTGCTCTTTTTTTTTTTTAAATATATTTTTATTGATATCAGAGAGGAAGGGAGAGGAAGAGAGAGATTGAAACATCAGTGATGAGAGGGGATCATGGATCCGCTGTCTCCTGCGCTCCCCCTACTGAGCCCACAACCCAGGCATGTGCCCTTGACCCGAATCAAACCTGGGACCCTTCAATCCGCAGGCTGATGCTCTCTCCACTGAGCCAAACTGGCTAGGGCAGTGCCTGCTCTTAAAGGCCACTGCCAGCTCCCAGACAGAGCTTTTTGTTAGAAAATTAGAGTTACCCAAGTAGTTCCTAGAGCTCTATACAACTTGTCAATTTGAATACAAACAACTAGAAAATGTCTATTATCTCCAAATTAACCCTCCTGCTGTGTTTTCAAATGGATCTGAGATGCCCATTTACATGCTGCCACGGTAAAAAGTGTCTCCAAGCTTATTTGAAATCTGAGCTGATTGCAAAAGGATTGATTTCCTGCAAATGTGGCAAAATGACTAAGAAGGATTCAGGACAGCAAAGGACATTGACTTGAATGAGAGTAAAGATTCCTTAGCATGTCCTGTGCATTTCTGTGCTTTCCTGCTGCTTCTGTGTCCTCTAGGCTCCAAATGTCCTCGCCTTCCCTGCCCAAACAAATGCCAAATGTTGGAAGAGGCCAGTTGGAGTCCTGCTGTATTTATTTTGCTTTATTTGTTCGGGACTTAGAGTTAAAACCTTCCAGTAGATGAACTGTATCAAGGGCTTTTCATGTCATATCGTGAAATGTGTTGTTATGCACAGTTCATTCCATTAAAAAATGAAACGTGTAAACCTAAATTAAAATGCATAGTGTGGGTCCCTCAGAGGGGGCTTCTGAAACACCCAGGCATAAAATGTTGCACTGATTTCTCGTTAACCAGAAAATTAATTTTAGCAAGCGACCCTTCCTGAGGCCTCAGGCAGGAGCTGGGGCATTGGGAGCCCCCGAAACGGTAAGGTGGGGCCTGATATTATGTACATTTATCTCGGTTGCCAGGAACTCTACGTTGCCATCTGTCACAGCTTTTGCCAGAAGCTACCTGTGGTTTAAAAGGCTGAAAAGGTCTGGGCAACAATGGAGCTTGGAGAAATAATTGTGGAAGTAAAATATTTGCAATTTTTCATTAACTCTCCTCTTGACATGCTGTGTGAAGGGTTCACCTCTCATTCTCAGGTTTCATGCTGTGAAGATGCTTTTTTGATGATTTTTTAAAGTAACAAAACCAACTTTCTGTGTTGGACACAGTCATAACATGGTGTCTAGAAATACAGTTATCAGCCCTTCTATTTGAGCTGGCGCTCTAGATAGAGAAGTGAATCGCTGGGTGAAGAGCTCCCCACAAGAGGAGGCTGACTTTGTCCAGTAACGCTTGGTTCCTCTACAGCCGAAGGGAGTAAGAGAACTGAAGTAGTCATCAGTACAGCTCAGAAAAATCCTCTTTTAGGCTCCATTTCCAGTAATTATTTCAATGCAGTGGCACTAATACTGAAATCTGCCCCTTCAGTCTTCTGCAACTGCCTTCTAAAGAAACAGCTTGGAGAGTCCGATATTAAATGGTGGCTATTCAATGAACTGTGGACCACTAGGGCCTTAACTAGATATGTGAAAGGGAAATGGAAATTGCCCAGGTGAACGAAAGTGTCACAGTAAATCTGTTGTGTGTTTATTTCAGCCTTAAAAATCAGAGTCTAACCCATGCCATATAATCTGAAAAAAAAAAAAAAAGATGAGGCAATGTGTCTAAATGGTAATTGGCCAGCAGTTCTAAAAGATCAAGTTTGGGTCAGCTACTTCATTATTTGCTCTGTGACTTTGGCCAACTTAACTGTTGTTTCCTGATTTTAAAAAATGAGGAGTGATGAGGCTCCTATGACAGGTAAGTCTCCAAGCCCAGTGCTTGGCACATTGGGAGGTTCAATAATTCTACCTTTCTATGTCCACCCCTTATCCTGTCCATGGTTTATGGTTTTAATATAACAGGGTTAAACAGTAGAAGTAATAAAGTAACATCAGAAATCATACTTTGCTGTTTATGTAAAAACAAAAAAAATTACAATATTAAAAGAAACGTTCCTTGATATGCCAGGTAAGTAAATTGTTTAATTATAGAGAATCATCACTATAAAAATATATTTTACTTGGTTGCATGATTTCAAGATGTGCTGGTCTGGCCCATAGACGCTGGGCACTGAGAAATGGGGAGACTTAGTCCTGGGGCTCCCTCTACTTCTGACTGGGATTCTTGGGCAGCCTCAAGTAAAACAAAATAGGATAAAAGCGTTTGCCAGGAATGAGCTCTCTTCCTCCTTTTCACACTCTCTCCTTCTGGATGGAGACAACATGAGCCCGTGTCCTTTTTTTTTTTTAATTAAATCTTTATTGTTCAGATTATTACATTTGTTCCTCTTTTTTCCCCCCATAACTCCCCTCCTCCCAGTTCCCGCCCCACCCTCTGCCCTCACTCCCCACCCACTGTCCTCATCCATAGGTGCACGATTTTTGTCCAGTCTCTTTCCGCATCTCCCACACCCCTTTCCCCCCCAAGAATAGTCAGTCCATTCCCTTTCTATGTCCCTGATTCTATTATGATCACCAGATTATTTGTTCACTTGATTCTTCGATTCACTTGTTGATAGATGCATGTTTGTTGTTCATAATTTGTATCTTTACCTTTTTCTTCTTCTTCCTCTTCTTAAAGGATACCTTTCAGCATTTCATATAATACTGGTTTGGTGGTGATGAACTCCTTTAGCTTTTCCTTATCTGTGAAGCTCTTTATCTGACCTTCAGTTCTGAATGATAGCTTTGCTGGATAAAGTAATCTTGGTTGTAGGTTCTTGGTATTCATCACTTTGAATATTTCTTGCCACTCCCTTCTGGCCTGCAAAGTTTCTGTTGAGAAATCTGCTGACAGTCGTATGGGTATTCCCTTGTAGGTAACTGGGTTTCTTTCTCTTGCTGCTTTTAAGATTCTCTCTTTGTCTTTTGCTCTTGGCATTTTAATTATGATGTGTCTTGGTGTGGTCCTCTTTGGATTCCTTTTGTTTGGGGTTCTCTGCGCTTCCTGGACCTGTAAGTCTATTTCTTTCACCAGGTGGGGGAAGTTTTCTGTCATTATTTCTTCAAATAGGTTTTCAATATCTTGCTCTCTCTCATCTTCTGGCACCCCTATAATTCTGATGTTGGTACGCTTGAAGCTGTCCCAGAGGCTCCTTACACTATCTTCGTATTTTCGGATTCTTTTTTCATTTTGCTTTTCCAGTTGGGTGTTTTTTGCTTCTTTGTGTTTTGAATCTTTGACTTGATTCTTGCGCTCCTCTGGTCTGCTGTTGGGTGTCTGTATAATATTCTTTATTTCAGTCAGTGTATGCTTAATTTCTAGTTGGTTCTTTATCACAACATCGAGGGTCTCATTAGATTTCTTGAGGATCTCACTACATTTATCGGCGGCCTCACCAATCTTTTCGAGGGCCTTACTAAGTTTATCGGCAGCTTCTAGACAGTTCTTGAGAGACCTTAAAAGTGTGGTTTTGAGCTCTATATCTTCCATTTCTGACATTTGCGTCCTGTTTCTTTGTCTCCGCATTTTTTTATCTTTTCTTGGTGCACCCCCTAGTGGTCTTTGTGCGCAGTCTTGTAGTTAAGCCTTGATTGTTGTCGGCAATACCGGGGGTGATTTGACCTCCAGGCTAACTGGCTATGAGAGTCCGCTGTGTCTGCAGTGGGAGAGCTTCTGTGCTGGATCTCTAGGGCGGTGCTAATCTAGCCTTTGCCTGAGGCTATCCGGCAAATGGCGCTGCGCAGGGCTTGGGCGGGGCGGGTCCCTGGGGATCTACAGGGCAGGCCGGAGTGGCCAGTTATGGCTGCTCTCAGTCCCGTCCCTAGGGGCTCTGCCTCTCAGAGCCCCAGCAACCGCTGCAAACCTCGGAGAGAAAGCTGCCTTCGAGTTCTGACCGAAGCCAGACAGTCCCGCTTCTCCCGTTTGAGTCTGGGTCCCTAGAGACTCGCCCGGATCTGGAGCTCAGAGTCTGAAACTCCCTCCCAATTGAAAACAACAACCGTGCCCTCTGCCGCCAGCCCGCTCCGTGCTCGCACTCCGCACCTGAGTATTTCACTTCAGCACTGCGGCTCCTCTGAGTCTGGGTATGATATTCTCTTTCCTCCTAGTTGTAGAATTTCCACTCAGCCAGCCTTCCTGTGGTTCTGGATGATGTCTGTTCTGTCCTTTAGTTATATCTCTGAAGTGGTTGTTCCAGGCAGCAATCTCCGGCGTTAACCTATGCCGCCATCTTGGTTTCTCTCGAGCCCGTGTCCTTGAAGGGCTTCCAGTGTTTTGTTTGGTGATAGCAGGAGAGTAGTATTGTCTGAGTCCATGAAGGCAGGTTCCTAGGCTTGGGTCCCTGGGCCCACGGGGATGGGGAGGGAAAGGAGCGAAGGCAAGAGCCAGAGCAGAAAAGGTAGAGACTGGTGAGCTGGAGAGCATGGCCCATGTAACCAGCGCTCTACCTGATAAATTCTACCAAACTGATTTAAATGCAAACCTATCCGACATCTGCTGCTGGATTTGGCCTCAGGTTGCCAGGAGACAGGTTCTAGTGTGGACAGTGGGTTGGAAATGCAGGCAATCCTAAACAAGGTGCTGACCGGCCTCCTCTGGGTGTTGTTCTTTTGTGGAGGGGTGTCCCAGCCTGAGTTGTAGTTTTTTCTGTTTCTAAAGAATAGGGCCCCATAAGAGCCTCCCATCCTTAGAAAATGGGCAGAATCCGAGTGGCCCGAGATTTCCCTGAGTCAGCGTGTGACGCTGATGTGCTCAGTCATACCTTGGGCTTGTTTTTAATTCAGAATTGGGTTTCCCTGCAACTGGCTTTGGTTAGAGTGCAATCAATTCAAATAAACATTGATGAGGATAAGTAATCATATTTTATGCAAACAAATGATTCTTCCTTAAAAGTCACTTTTTAAAAAATGCGTGCTATTTCTTTTCTCAGCACATCAAGCTAATAAAAGTTAGTGTGTCATCAAAATTCCCTTCATGACTGCTTATTGTTCCCTTTATGTTAAATTTAGAAGATTGTTCTCCATTTTGTTTCTCCCCTCCCCTATTACAATTTTATACTCTTTACCACTAGAATAATGGTTAGTTTATGTATTGCATAGTTATCGCAAAAAACATCATTATGGCTACTTCCAAGAGAGAATGGTGTCCATTAAAAAATGTGTGTACGCTCCAAATCCAATGACACATGAATTGCTAGCTCATTAAAACTGGAGTTTAATATTAAAGCAGAGTTTTGTGACTCCCAGTGTCTTCCAGGTCAAACGCTGTAACACTTTCCTGGCCCATTTTAGGTCTCCATTTGGCTTCCTTTTCAAGGAGGCCTGGTTGCTGCTGAGGAATTTATGCAGAATGTGACAGGAGGACATTCCCCAGCCCCTTCTCTCCCTGTGAAGGAAGAACATAATGCAACGCAGACTTGTCACCTTGACGCACTTACTGAGCATGTGCATGTGAAGGCAGGAAGGTGCCTGTAGGGAAGAGAGTGGAGGTGCTTCCAGTTCTAAGAGAGTCTAGAAGGGAGTTTGGAAGAGAAAGTTATGGGATGGGTTGGAGGGTGAGTCAATGTAGGGCACAACCCTTCTGAAGTGTTTTGCTAGGAGGGACCCTGAGAAGGTAATGAGCATTTACTAAGCATCCTCAGTGGGCGGTCCATTCTAAACCACATACAATAGTCACTAAGGCACGTGCAGTCCTCTGGGGGAAACATCTAAAGCCAACTGAACCCACAGGCTGACCCAGGTCCCCCCAGACACTGCAGTGGTGTGGAAGGCTCCTGTGAAGGCTGCGGTTTTCTGAAAGAATCTCTCTGAAAGCCACGTGAGTTTAGCTTGCATCCTGTATGCGGGAGTAGGCAGTCTGGTACTGCCTGGTGATAGAGCACAGCTCTCTAGAGTCTTTCCTTCATGTTCTCTGACAGGTTCTAAAGATGATGGCATTTGACTGGGCCAAACCTTGGACTCAGACTAAGCACCTGCATGCCATCCCTCTAAAACGTGAGAGAAGATGATGTTGGAACACAAAACACATACATACTACGGCCAGGTGATGCAGGTCTCAATCCGATTTGGCCACTTCCTGGCTATGTGACCTTGGGCAGATTACTTAGTCTTTCTGCTCTTTGGTTTTCTCATCTACAAAATAGGGTTAATAATGCCTCTTAAGGGTTATTGTGAGGAGAAGGGAATGCATATAAAAATACTTTATTCCAGTAGTTGGAATAAAATAGGTACTTAAAAAATAGTAACTCTATTATTTTTATTATGGTGATTTCCCATCATAGTAATTCTAACATAACAGTTAAACTGATTTGCATGTGCTATTTAGATAAGCAGTTTGGTCTGGTTATTTAAATCCATTTTTATTCCATATTCAGTTTGAAGTATAGCTCATGTTGTGAATATTACTTTCAGTCTTTATGTGAGAGACACTCAGAAAATTATTGCCAGCAATATCTAATAATTATGAAATTTTTGACTTTATGTTTTAAAAAATAACCAAACTTATAAATATCTAAGTGTAATATTTCCCTTTCTTCTGAAGGCAAAATATTTTTCATTTATTTCAGTTCAATGTCTGAAAATAAACACCACAGTGTAAACATACCAGCAAGGCTGTCTTGAGCTTAAAAAATCAGTGAAAACAAATTTAATTTCAGGGAAAGATGAATGCACCCCTTAAACTCCTATTTGAGAAGATGCATGTCCTAGGAGTAAAGATGTTGAAAAGTAGCTAGTCAGAATGGCATGCTGTCTCAAATTCTGGCTAAAAACGATGTTATCATCATCATCTTCTCCATCATCATCATCATCAAACTTCCTGGGCTTAATGTATCATAATTTGTCTTTGGTTTCCATAGAAACGAGGTTTCATCCTGTAACAGTATCAGGGGTCTTAATTCACAAGTGGATTTGCTGGCTCCGGGGAGGGCTGCTGATTGGTAGAAAGGTGTGTTGACATCTGTAAGAAGCTGCATCCATTTGCACAGGACCCACATTTTCTGGTTCTGGTAACAGGGTAAGCACTTCACTGGTGCAGCCTCCACCCCTTCCTCCCCAGCTGGTCTCTGTTCCGGGGCATTCCTCCCTCTGTGAGCTCCATCACCCACCTGTCCTCCTCTATGCCGGCCCTGTCTCCCTAGCACTGCCCTGTGTGTGGTTTGGTCTCATTATTCATTTTGTCTAACTCTATTCTCCCACCTTGCATTTCCTTGTTTTTCTTGGGCCACTGGATTCTTGCTTCTGTCCCTGGAGGTCACTGCATTCATACTCTGAACCACCTCTGGCTTGGCCCTTGACCTGCTTCTCCTTTGGCTGAGCTTCAAGTCCCTTCCTTTGAATGGAACTCCTTCATACGAACTGATCACCATGTGAACTGATGCTCTAGCTTGAGCCTTGCCTAAGTCAAGAGGGTAAAACATGGTGGTCCCAGAACTCCTAAGGTGGTGCTAAGTGTGCCCATTAGGATTCAGAGGACAGCTGTGCAGGGAGATGGACCTAGGTGTGGAAGCTACATAAAACCCTTTCCCTCATATATACCAGGGGAAGACGACATTGGGAAAGGTAGGAAGGATAACTACTGGTATTTGGTGGCATCGATGCCCTGTAGCTGAAGACTGTCAGGAACACAGTTGAGCCTATTCATGTTTCAACTGTGGGGCATCTCAGGGAAAGGGTGTTCAGAAGGACTTGTAGGAGTTGGGGCTTGTGCTGGTGATTTGCCGGGAGGTTTTAAGGAAACGGCTTGGTTCTGATTGGATACTGTCAGGAAGTGGGAATAATTCGACGATGGGCTATCTTAACCTCCTTATCTATAGAGGGTGGACTAGAGCCAGGCTGAAGGTGTTATTGGGAAGGAAGCTACCCATATTCTTCAGGCGGGGGTATGTTTTGGTATTTGTGGGTTGGACAGTGTTCATGTTTCATTTGTGTTCACATGTATGGTGTGGTCTTGACTGATATTGATGTTCTGTAGAAGTGTTTATAGTCAACAGAACACTCAGGTCTACCTGTGTGTGCCAGGCCAGTACCTGGATGGCAAGGCTGGTTTTTGTTCTTTCTCAGTATTATCGGGGTTTGAACCTTTTAACTTGAATATTGAAAGCTGTAAGACCGGGGACATCAGGGTGACACTCACACATGTTTGTATGCTTGTATGTGTGTTGTATTTTATATGTACATAACAGTCGCCTAGGTAGTTATTGAATATGTGTTGCTATGTATGCTAAGTATGAAGTTCTCTCCTTGAAAGCAAGGGAAATCCACATTCTCCTCATTAATTGAAGGAAATTCCACAGTCTCGCTTGTGTTACCCTCAGACTTGCAAATGAGCAAATTAGGAAGCTGGGCCCCTGACTTAAACTTTTCTAATATAAATTGGGTGACAAGGTCAGGCATTCTTGATGTTGTATAGAACCAATTACCTCCATACACTGTGATGGGGTCTTGCGGATACTGAGCTGCAGCGTTCTTTGCTAAAAGGCAGAAGCCCTGTGGATGGCCTGAGACAGGCAGCTTCCACCAGGCAGTCACTGGGCTGGGGAACGGTGCTGGCAGCATAACGTGTTTGTGCAGCTGAATTTATTTAGCCCAGTGCCATTTGAAAGACAGCGCCTGGGCCGCAAAGGAAAACTTAGGCCTGCAATGAATCATTGCACACCAGAGTGAGTCAATACCATAATATCACCGAGAGATCATTTCTAATGATGGCAAATTGTGTAGCGCAACAATATGCTGACTTTAATTCCGGTGCCATATGGCTCTAGGTTTACTTTTATGCATTTGAGGGGGTGGGATGGGATGTTTTAAAGCTTTTTGCATAGAGGAGATGATAAAAGCACACTGTTATTTTATTAGGAGAATGGAAATCTCAGTAAAATATATACCGAGGATAGAAAATGGAGATGAAGGAAGAGGATATAGCAAATGCAGGATGACTTTTATTAGTATCTAGTCAGTGAGAGCCGTGGGGTATTTATGGTTTCTGGTCACGGTTCCCGAGGCAGCAGGTGGCGTCACATTGCTCGGCTCCCACTGCAGGGCTGCAGCAAACCTATCTCTGTGTACTTGGCTCAGGAGTGGGCGAGGAACACGTCAATCTGAGTCAAGAACCTTGGATGAATCGAGTGGTAAACATTCCAGCACCAGCTAATATTTTCTAGGTACTTACAATGTATTGGGCACTGGGCTAATGATTTTCTTACATAATCTGACCAATTCTCATAAGAAAGCTGTCAGGTAGATATCACTAATGCTCTCATTTTACAGAATGGGTACACCGAGGCTTTGAGAAGTTAAATCATTTGTTCCAAGTCACATAGTTAATAAGGACAAGGCTTAAACTGGCGTAGGTAGAAGAAGAAATAAAAATATAGTGTTTGGAATATCACCAAAAAGTGTTCTGGAAGGAGGAACATTTGTCATTAGATTTCTGTGTCTAATTAAGGCAGCAAGCATTGACTGAGCATTCACCCTGCAGGGTGCTGGGGCAGGCATGGGATCCCTGCTGTCCCATAAACAAGTCACCTACCTGAGTGAGAGTGTGAAGGAGCCGCAGGGAGGAGCAGGGATGGCCCAGGATGTGGAAGGACATGGGCACACATCAGTAGTGATCGTTATCAGGAAAGCGATGGGTAGACCACATCCCATTCCTTTTACATATATCTCCTGATCTAAAAAACTGCCTACACATCCCTGCAAAGAAGGTTGTGATTTCCCATTTTTCAGAAAAAACAAAAAAAAAAGAAGGAAAGAAACAACCAAAGCCAACACCACAACACTTTGACATTAAGAGGCATCGCCCAACTTGCTTAAAGTACATAGGATCAAAAGCTGCGCCTTCCAAGTGCCAAACTCATTTCAAATCCCAGCAGGTGCAGGTCAGCTGGCATTGCACTCAGATAAGTGACTTGACCAGTTGCCCTTCTCTGTACCTCTGTTCCCCAGTCTAGCTATATGCTGACCTCTGTGTCACCTGTGAAGTGTGGGTCAGCCAGGTGCTGAGATCGATGCCCCCAAAAGTCCTGCGGTCAGCAGGACTGCCTGATCAGTTGTGCATCAGCTGGTGCCTGGCTGGTGGCTCTGCCTAGATTCTTGGCCAGAGGTCATACTTTTTCTTGTCTGCCTTTCCGGTCTGAGCCGTCCTCTGCCTAGGACACCTGTGCATCCATTAAATCCTGCCTGCCTCCTGCCTCCTGTTCTGCATCCCAGGTAGACTTGTCCCAGGTCCTGGGCCCTGTGCTTCATTATCTTGTTTAGCTCTCCTGCTCTACATCACTGTTACCCTTAATTTGGGGGGTAGTTTATAATACAAAAAGCAAGGTTTTATTTTTCAAGTGTAAAGTTATATTAAAATGTTGAATATGCTTTTAATATGATATATTGCCCAGCTGGTGTGGCTCAGTAGTTGAGCGTTGACCTATGAACTAGGAGGTCATGCTTCCATTCTGGTTCTATTCTGGGCACATGTCTGGGTTGCGGGCTCGAACCCCAGTGTGGGGCGTGCAGGAGGCAGACCATCAATGATTCTCTTTCATCATTGAGGTATCATTCTCTCTCTTCCTTCCTCTCTGAAATCAATAAAAAAATATTTCAAAAAATACATATATTTCCCTGCAATTAGATTCTCAGAAACCCCTGATGTGCCTCAGAAATACTTTTCTGAGACTTTACATTGGAGTTAGCACAATTCTGAGAGTTGCCAGGTTTAGCAAATAAAAATATAAGGCGCCAAGTCAAATTTGAATTTCAGATAAATGACAATAATTTTTTAGGGTAAGTATGTCTCACGAAGTATTTGGAACACATTTTTACCAAAAATTGTTTTTTATTTAACTGGGGTTCTTGCATTTTATGTGGCAGCTGTATTTTTAGGGAGACTCCTAATACTTTGGAGAATTTTCCCCCCCTTTTCCTGGTTTGATTGATACTAAAACAAATACTGTTCTTTGTTCTCATGTTCCATTGCAAAGCCACCTGAAATCAAGTTTGTGTGCTCAACCCCACCCAGAAATTTTATAGGAGAAAGCCTTGTATATTGAAAGGAGCAAGTGTTTCCGGCTGGCGATGGATTTCTCACTGCCCAGCTTCCTTGTACTTTCTCATGCTCTGGTTGGTGGCTTATCCAGGTAACTTTATCATCATATCATTCATTATACTAGTTTCTTCTTGGAAATAAATGAGCTCATAAGTCAATCTTCTTGGCTTGGAACAAGAGAGGATTTCAAAGGCTCTTTTGGAAGAACTGTGGGAGCCCTGAGGGTGTGGTGGGATGTGGAGAAAGCATTCTGCAATATTGGCTTTGTCAAATGGGAGCAAAGTGATGAGGAACCAAGGTTTCATCAATAATGCATTATTATTTTGAAGACATTAGAGATAACTAAGTGTTACTAAGCTTTATGATAGTTCTGACATTTTAATGGGCCCTTAAACGAAGTGAATTATGAAAAAGCGTACTTTGGATGAGGTCATGGACTCTTTAAGTTTAGGGATCAATAGAAATAGCCTGTGCTTGCCAATATGGCTAAAGCTATGCCAGTAATCTGTGCTGTCAGGTTATTATAATGGAACAAGGAGAGCCCGCCTTTCTCTTACTGCCCACCCCCTCCAACAGACATCACGAAGACCAGATAGAGGGCAAGGATCCAAATACTGAAAGCCTCGTCTTTTTCAGTTCTCATATGGAAAATATTCTTATGTTGATCTCTCATGAAGTTATTATACTAAAAATAAGAAGATGGAGATGGTGTTTTCTGTCTCTCTTCCTGTCTTTCCCTTAATGATCCGATTGTTTATTTTACCTGCAAACATTTGGTGGCTCCAAATATCAAGAGTTGGCTAGTGTTTTAAAACATAAAAAAAGCATTTTTTTTTAAAAAAATGGAATATTCTATACAAGGCCAATATGTACGTAGTACAGATAAAAAGGGGAGCTTTTCATTTGAAGAGGAGGCCAGAACTGCTTGCTCAGTTCCCCCCACTCTTACTTGAGGTATCTTTGTAAAACCTCTAGGGTTCTATGGAACTCAGTTTGAAAACCACTGGTATAGCCCAACCATCTGATTTATTTAAACTTTTCATTTAGCCTCCTTAGTTTGAATATTTGCAGTCATTAAGATGGTTGTCAGTAGGGCCAACACTTTTTTCTTCGTGGCAGGCTCTGCAGAACAAGGCAGCTGGGGCTCTTTCTATGAAAATCTTGTTTGCACAGTGCTCAGTGTTCATTGTACTGTTGCAGATAAAGAGGTGTGGAGAGATTTTCATTTACTGGGTGGAAAATGGAGCTTGTCATTCACTGCAACTCATCCTCTTGCATTGGAGGGGCTCTCAGTACTTGGGTTTTATACTTGTAACTGAGAAAGAAGGTACAGAGCCTTGAGCACGAAGGCAGTTGGAAAATGGGAGAGAAGGTTTGCAAGCTCCTGGGCAGCCAGGTGAGGATCCTGCAAACGGAGGCTTCATGAAATACCCTCTCCAAGATGTGGGCTAGCTTTTACAGATTTTTAAACCTGCACCGTACTTAATACCTGGTATCAGAGAAATAAATGAATGAGCAAAGCAAAAAATATCAAAGAGGTTTAGTTGGTGTGGCTTGGTTGGTTGGAGCTCATCCATGTACTAAAATGTTGCAGGGTCTACCCCTAGTGAGTGTGTGTACAGGAGATAACCAATTGCTGTTTCTCTCTCTTCTCTCTCTCTCTCTCTCTCTCTCTCTCTCTCTCTCTCTCTCTCTCTCTCTCTCTCTCCCCCTCTATTTCTATCTTCTATCTCTACCTCTACCTCTACCTCTACCTCTACCTCTACCTCTACCTCTACCTCTACCTCTACCTCTACCTCTACCTCTACCTCTACCTCGTTTTCTCTCTCTGTCAAAGCAATAAGAACATATCAGGGTAAGAATTTTTTTTTTAAAATAAGGTTTTAAAAAATTTAGGGTACATATCCGTTAGCAGAAAACAACAGAAGAGACACCTAAAAGTGGCTTAAAATTAGGAATATATGTCCTTTCACAGAACACATTCTCAGGTAGGGCAGTTCTATAGTTGATTCATTCTGTGGCTCAGCATCATCTAGAGCCCAAGTCTTGCCATTTGTCTGCTCCGCCATCTCTACGATGTGCACTCTGACTTGTCCTCACCTGGTTGCAAGGTCCCCGACATGTGCCTGGCATTACATGCAGGGGGCAACTTTGATGGAAGAAGAGGGATCTTTTGTCCTGTAGGTCTCTTTTGGTTCAGTGAGAAAAACTATTCCAAGAGGCCCCTTGCAGATTTCTCCTCACACATCATTGGCCAACACAATAGGTAAGCTCAAGCCTAAAACAATCATAGGGAAAGAAACTATTTGGCTTGGCCAATCATGTTTCGCCACCGGGCCTGAAGAAAAAAGGGAAGACATTTCAATCAATGGAACCTATCAGAGGTCCCAGGTTTATCACTCCTTGCTGTTTGTTTTCGGATACTTCGGTGATCTCCAGTAAGCCACAGAGTTATTGCAAACAATTTATAGCCAGGTTATTGTGAACTATTCTTAATAAAAAATTAACAAACTAAAGAACAATTTTGAGGAAAAAATCTGCATTCTATAGTATAGAACAAAACAAACTTCAGATGATTTGAGGCAAATATAAAAAACAAGCAAAATAACACATAACACTTCTTCATAAATTCTAGAGAAACTAAAAAAAAAATAGCAGTTCATATCAGAGGAGGAACATAAATTCTCTTAGCTTTGTAGCAATAGGAAACAAAAGAAGAAATAATACACAAGTAATGATATATTTGAATGTAAAAAACTATGGACTTTTGTATAATGAGAAAGCAAACTACTAAAAATGGACAACTGGCTGCAAAAACATTTCAATCAAATATTACAAAAGATTAATATGTCTAATCTGTAATTTTCTATTTAAATTTTTAAGGAAAAGTGTACATTAAAACTAGGATAAACATAAAATACCAGAGGAGATCATTCACAAGAGGGGCAATAAATAATAATGGATTAAACATATAAAAAATACAACCTCAGTAGGACACAAAGAAATTCAAATGAAAGCAAACCTCAAATGCAGTTTGGTATCTCCTAGTAAAACTTTAAACAATTATAATACAATTAAGGTTGAAATATAGCTGATATACTATTTCATGCTGATAAACTGGTATATTTTTATTGTTTGCCCTGGCCGGGTGGCTAAGCTGGTTGGAGCATTCTGCCATACACCAAAAGGTTGTGGTTTGATTCCCAGTCAGGGCACATACGTAGGCTGCGCATTTGATCCCCAGTTAGGACGCTTACGGGAGGCAACTGATCAATGTTTCCCTTTCACACTGATGTTTCTCTCCATCTCTATCTCCCGTCCTCGCTCTCTAAAATAAAAAAATATCCACAAAAACATTAAACGTTTTAAAAACCTGAGACATCTTTTTCAAGTAAATATGACAATATATAATGAAAGTTACAAAGATATTCATACTCTTTTTACCAGTAATTCAAATATAGAAAGTTTACTCTAACCAAATAAATCAAGAATCTACATGAGAAAGGTAATCAGTGCAGTAAAATCTCTAGTGGGAAAAAACTAGAAACCACTGAAATGTACAACATATGGAAATGGTTTAATAAAAATGGTCAAATATTATTCAAACATCTAAAATGTTTACTGTACATAGGCGTTCTGGTCAAGATGGCAGCATAGGTAAATGTGGTACTTGGAACCTCACACAACCACATCAGACTAACAACTAAACTACAGAACAACCATCATTCAGAACCGCCTGAAATCTAACTGAACAGAAGTCCTAGAACTAAGCATATAAAGAAGAAGCCACATCAAGACTGGGAGGAGGGGTGAAGAACAGGCTGGTCCCATACCCATGTGTGGCAGTTAAAAATCAGAGGGACATCTTAACTGTGGAGGTCCCCCCCGAGGAACCACGGGTCCCAGCCCCACACCAGAACCCCCCAGCCCACTTTTCCGTGCCAGGAAAAGAAGTTCCCATGACTCTGACTATAAAAACCAGTGGCGTGCTGGGGGAACTCTGGGGCAGTTTTCGTTCTCGTGATTAAGGAGAAAAACTTGCTGGAACAGACGTTTGCCCTTCCTCACCTCCTTGCTTTGAATGCTGACAGGATGCCTATAAGAACAGGTGCATTGCGTGACCATGAAGTTACCAGAACAGTGTGAAGAGGAAAAACAGAAGGAGCCCAGGTCCTTGCGGGCATCATGGGGCCCTTGTAGCAGCCCTGCCTCTCCTACCTACAGACTTGTTAGAGAGGAATAAATCCTGCTTAAACCACTTTACACCGCATTTCTAACTGATAGGGAATGCAGCACCCACTTGGAGTTCGAGACAAGAGAAAAGATGAGATTGGAGTCATGAACCATGCTAAGAAATTTAAACCCTATTTGAAGAGCAATTGGAGACCTTGGGCAAATAACTTAATTTCTCAGAACTTCAATTTCCTCATTGGTAAAGTGGGAATAACAATGTCTGCCATGTGGTTTGTAAAGATTAAATGAGATAATGTATGTAAATTGTTCAATAGTGTTGGCACTTAGTAGGCAACGTAATAATCTATAGCTATTTGAATGATGATAACAGTGGTAAAACAAAAAAATTTCAATGATCTGTACAACTCTGTTTTCTGTGGCTCCTTTGTTCATTCATTCATTCATTCATTCATTCATTCATCCATTCATCCATCCACCAAAAATACATTAAGCAATAATTGTGTCAGAGTCTATGTTAGGCCAGGGGAGAGAAATGATCCTTGCTCTCATAGACTATAACATTCTAGTGGGATGCGATAAAACAAGCCAGCAAACTGTGAAATGGCAATTTTGGGTTTGGTTGAATCGTTCTCTGGGTTGTGTAGTAACTTGGTGACAGAGACCTACTTCTTGAAAGGGTTTTTCATAGGCAGAGAGGGGAGTTTCTAACGCATTTAAAAATACCAATTATTAAGTATGGAGTGTAGAGTGGGGAGAGAAAGGATACTGAGGGAGAGCAGGGGCACCATGAGCAGCCCTCGTAGGCCCTCGTGAGGTTTCTTCTTGATCCTGAACACAGACCACAGCCTGGCGGCACTTCCTGGCCAGGGAGCCCAGCTATACATTAACCTACAGGAAGTAGCCTAGATGAGCCCAAACATTTTGTAGGAAATAGAGATAATTTTGAGGGCGTGTAGTGTGAGTTCTGGAATGAGACAGTCTGGGCTCAAACGGAACCCCATTGCTTAAGAGCTGTGTGGCCTTAAGAAAGTTATTGAATGGTGCTAAGTCTCCAATCCCTAACAGTAATAGTAATTATCACCTAAGGACATTTTGAAGATTGAATGTACTAATCTATGCATTGGCATGTTGCATAGTAAGCACTCCATAAATATTAGCTAGTTTTGTTGCCAGTTTTCCTAGTGGTAGAATTTATCCATCAAACACAACAATCAATTTTGGAGAATTCATGATTTCTCTCTCTCTCTCTCTTTTTAAAAGAATGTGAATTATTTTAAAAGAAACTTTCTATTTTCATATGAATGTTTTTGTCTACTCAGATCTTATGAGGAGGCTCTAAAGATTACTGCCAGTGCTTTGGTGTTCTCAGAAGAACGTTCTCTAGGTGAGCTGGGATGTACGTCATGTAGCCCAGGAGACTTGGATTCACAAAGCAAATACACCCCCCTTTGGCCCTTTCCTGGGGTGTTCATCGGACACCAGATCATCTCACCATGACCTGCGAACTGCTATTTCCAGGTGCTCATATGTTTCTTCTTTAGGAGCTTAAAGATGGCCGGAGTCACTTTGCAGAAGCTAGGGGCTTTCCCTCCCTTCAAACTCATACAATGTGCATTCACTGAACAAATATTTCCTGAGCACTTACTGCATGCTGGCAGTGTTTTGAGAGCACACAGTGCTCATCTCTCTGGCACCTCCCTCAGAGCGGTCATGAGTGTGTGTGGCCACTTGATAGCTGATAGTTGTCTATAGTTGATACAAAACTGTCTATAACCAGATGAACAGCTTGTTTGCCTGTGAGTGGCCATCAAGTCCTGGTGGTTGACCATCTTTCCTGGATTTCATCAATTGCTGAAAGGCATCAGCCTGCAAGGAAACCTTTCTTGCCTCTATGAGAGAAAACTGTTGCACAAACTTTCCTGCTGTGACATCAAGATTTTCAGACCCACCTTCTCCTGATTGGCAGCTCCCCGAGTCTTTGTTTCTCTTGGGAGTCACTTTTTCCTTCTGTAGCTGAGCCACCTGCCATCTTTTGCTGTTAACTGGCTGTGAAAACCATCTCTCTTATGTGTGGCCAGGGCAGAGCCAGGAAGATGAACCCAGCTGATCTTTTTTTCTTAATTCATAGTTTTGAGCTGTGAAGGCAAAAACACTGTTGTCATCTCTGTATGAGTTGGTCCTTCATTAAGATAGGTTCAGGTGGACCTGGTGTAAATATGAATGTCAAAACTGAACAAATAATGGATTAAAAGGAAATCTAAAATAAAGATAATCTAAGCATTGGAACTCCTGAGGAGGAACCTCCTCATTCTGTAGTCTTCTATCAAAGCAAGAGAAGGTGAGCAGGTATTTTAACTCAGGGATGATTTCTACTGTGAACAACAGAAGCCTGAGCTACAGGCTTATTTTTCTCAGGCAACAAACTGGCATTATTAGCTCAGTGGTTCAATGATATTAGTGCTAAACATGCCTTTTTCTTTTACTAGGACAGTAAAACGTCACCCAAAGGTTCCTCCCTACCTGATTTCCCTTATTAGTAGGACATGACCAGGACTGGGCCACATGACTTCCCCTCCAGGCAAGAATGTCTGGGAAAGTGGGCAGTGGGTGGTCATGGCTGGTTTACACCAATCAAAATTCATTCTCTGGGATGGGACATATTTTCACCCCAATCAAAATTAAGGTTTGATTAGCAAGAAGGAGAAATAGGCAGCCAACCATGTGTGCCCCATAGTTCATTTTTCCTTGTCATTTCTGTCATCAGGAGCCACATGAAACAGGATGTTGGGAGGTACTTAAGAGGATCACTGTTTTCAATTTTATTCTCACCATGACTCAGAGCACAGCAGGAACCAGGAACATCCGCCTTGTATGGGGTGTTATGCTCTCATGTTGGAGTTGGTGTCTTTAAAGGGGCACTGCCTCCTGTAACTCACTCCCACATGGAGACCAACAGGCTTACCTAATTCCCCACCCTCCCTCTAAGCTTGATTCCAAAACCTTTTGATGGCTGCAGAGCAAACAGCAGACTTTTGTGCTTGTCACAATCATGCACACCTTGTGGGGTTGATAATAGAGGGAAAAATAGGTTGTCAGAAATAGATGACTATTTCATCCAACAGATGCTCTTTGTGTTTAAAATGAAAAGCAAAACAAATCTCCCATCCCTGAACATGGAGGGAACCAGGGATAATTCATGATGAAAGAATTTAAAGTTAGTATCATAGTTCTACCCAGCAGAGGGGAGACAACAGTGTTTATCATTGGTGGCAGGTAAGTAGAGTGTCTACCCATTGACATTTTATCTCAACTTTGTCTTATGTTAATATTCTCTTGTCCTAGACTATTTCCTCCTTGGGTAGCAATAAATTAGAATTAGGACCAGTTGGTTTGTAGTCTGGTTTCAGGGTTTGTAGGCTGGAGCTAGTTGCAGGGAGGTTAGACAGGGGAGATTGAAGACACATTTGTCACCATGTGCTTCCAAAAGGTACCCTTCACCAGGACCCCCTTGCATTCAGTACAGGCAAGAACTGCCACTGCCATGTGCTGCACATGGTTGGCTGTTTGACAGCTATAACAGCATTTGGTATGAAAAGAAGCCTTCTCAGCTGGCTGAGTGGAAATTCTACAACTAGGAGGAAAGAGAATATCATACCCAGACTCAGAGGAGGCACAGTGCTGAAGTGAAATACTCAGGTGCGGAGTGCGTGCGCGGAGCAGGCTGGCGGCGAGGGCGCGGTTGTTGTTTTCAATCGGGAGGGAGTTTCAGACTCTGAGCTCCAGATCCGGGCGAGTCTCTAGGGACCCAGACTCAAATGGGAGAAGCGGGACTGTCTGGCTTCGGTCAGAACTCGAAGGCAGCTTTCTCTCCGAGGTTTGCAGCAGTTGCTGGGACTCTGAGAGGCAGAGCCCCTAGGGACAGAACTGAGAGTCGCCATAACTGCTCGCTCCGGCCGCCCTGTAGATCCCCGGGGACCCGCCCCGACCAAGCCCTGCGCAGCGCCATTTGCCGGATAGCCTCAGGCAAAGGCTAGATTAGCACCGCCCTAGAGATCCAGCACAGAAGCTCTCCCACTGCAGACACAGCCGACTCTCATAGCCAGTTAGCCTGGAGGTCAAATCACCCCTGGTATTACTGACAACAATCAAGACTTAACTACAAGACTGCGCACAAAGACCACTAGGGGGTGCACCAAGAAAAGATAAAAAAATGCGGAGACAAAGAAACAGGACACAAATGTCAGAAATGGAAGATATAGAGCTCAAAACCACACTTTTAAGGTCTCTCAAGAACTGTCTAGAAGCTGCCGATAAACTTAGTAAGGCCCTCGAAAAGACTGGTGAGACCGCCGATAAATGTAGTGAGATCCTCAAGAAATCTAATGAGACCCTCGATGTTGTGATAAAGAACCAACTAGAAATTAAGCATACACTGACTGAAATAAAGAATATTATACAGACACCCAACAGCAGACCAGAGGAGCGCAAGAATCAAGTCAAAGATTCGAAACGTGAAGAAGCAAAAAACACCCAACTGGAAAAGCAAAATGAAAAAAGAATCCGAAAATACGAAGATAGTGTAAGGAGCCTCTGGGACAGCTTCAAGCATACCAACATCAGAATTATAGGGGTGCCAGGAGATGAGAGAGAGCAAGATATTGAAAACCTATTTGAAGAAATAATGACAGAAAACTTCCCCCACCTGGTGAAAGAAATAGACTTACAGGTCCAGGAAGCGCAGAGAACCCCAAACAAAAGGAATCCAAAGAGGACCACACCAAGACACATCATAATTAAAATGCCAAGAGCAAAAGACAAAGAGAGAATCTTAAAAGCAGCAAGAGAAAGAAACTCAGTTACCTACAAGGGAATACCCATACGACTGTCAGCTGATTTCTCAACAGAAACTTTGCAGGCCAGAAGGGAGTGGCAAGAAATATTCAAAGTGATGAATACCAAGAACCTACAACCAAGATTACTTTATCCAGCAAAGCTGTCATTCAGAATTGAAGGGCAGATAAAGAGCTTCACAGATAAGGAAAAGCTAAAGGAGTTCATCACCACCAAACCAGTATTATATGAAATGCTGAAAGGTATCCTTTAAGAAGAGGAAGAGGAAGAAAAAGGTAAAGATACAAATTATGAACAACAAATATGCATCTATCAACAAGTGAATCTAAGAATCAAGTGAATAAATAATCTGGTGATCATAATAGAATCAGGGACATAGAAAGGGAATGGACTGACTATTCTTGGGTGGGGGGGGAAAGGGGTGTGGGAGATGCGGGAAGAGACTGGACAAAAATCGTGCACCTATGGAAGAGGACAGTGGGTGGGGAGTGAGGGCGGAGGGTGGGGCGGGAACTGGGAGGAGGGGAGTTATGGGGGGAAAAAAGAGGAACAAATGTAATAATCTGAACAATAAAGATTTAATTAAAAAAAAAAAAAAGAAAAGAAGCCTTCTCAGGACCTAGGAAGGATTGTTAATCTTGACCCCTTCTTTTCTTATGTAATTTCCCCTCCCTGCTTGGGGACAGCCTTGCTGGACTCAACCAAAGGAGTTCTATGTAACAACTTCTTTATTTCTTCTATCTAGTGGATAAAAAACTTTATTGGCCACTGAAGTTTGCAGTTATATTCCAAATGTCCATATGGCCCCGTTATTGATGTCCTGAGAGGGGGTGGGCAGTTTCATCCTGTGGCTCTTCTAGAGTCAGTTGTGGGGCTGCTAAAGGCGCGCCAGCAGCAGCGTATGAAGGTGGGGCTGGACCCATCTCTGGCCAGAAGCATGTTCATCTAAATTGAAATCTAAGGTGAGCTGTCAACCTTACACCCAAAGACAAAGACTCAGACCCTACAGTTAAATTAGAAATGAGTGGAGGGTTTGAGGGAATTCTCCAGGCAAGTGATCCATTCCCAGGTTTAAAAGCATAGAGGGGAACAGAGAGATGAATGGTGATGGGAGGAGACTTGACTGGGGATGGTGAACACACAAAACAATATACAGATGATGGATTATAGAATTGTTCACCTGAAACTTATATAATTTTATTTACCAATGTCACCCCAATAAATTCAATAAAGAAAATAATAATAAAAAATGCATAGAGGAAGTTTTCCTTCAGGGTTTATGCTCTAACCAACTCACAGGAGAGTGAAAATGTAAACTCAGGTGTTTTAGTAAGGATGTTTTGATTGTTGTTATGTTTTTTATGTATTTAGTAGCAGTAAGAAACATGCAATTTATGCATTGCTTTTGGCTGAAGGTAATTTTATTTTATTTTATTTTTATTAATTTTTAGAAAGAGAGGAAATGAGAGGGAGAGAGAGAGAAACATCAATGTAAGAGAGAAACATTGGCTGCCTCCCACATACACCCTGACCAGGGATGGAATACCTAACCTGGGTATGTGCCCGTAGAACTGGTGACCTGGGGGTGCACTGGACGATGCTCAACCAATTGAGCAACACCAGCCAGGGCTTGAATGCAGGTAATTTTATTTTATTTTTTA